TTTTTTTTTTTGGTCCACATTCTCATTAATTTCATAGAAAAGAGCAGCCAGCGCATTTATCACATAATCTCTTTTTGCATTTTACAGAAGAAAGTCCAACAGGATTGCTGTACACAAGGGTGCGTAAACGATGACAGAAATTAAACGATTTCAGTGAAAAGCCAAAGTGCTGGGGAAAAAAAAAACACAATCTCTGCTCGCCCAGTTGAGTCCTCTGCTTTTGTGATGCATCTCGAGGCGTCCGCTCCCAGGAGTCTGCTAGATCAAACTCCAGATCTGATGCTATTTCAATGCCCTACTCTTGGGAAGCATTGCAGTGCTAATGAAATAAAGGCAACCATTTGTAACAAGATATAGATTAATTCCATTTCCCTTTCACAGAAGGCCTCGATGGGCATCACGCTCAGCGATAGATTTATATGGCAAACAGCACGCGTATGGATCAAGCCCGTCGACATAACACTATGTAATCATTTATATAGACACTAATGGTGACCGTCTCCCTTGTGCTATCGGTCTATGCGCTATGACAAACATTACTCGCAAGCAATAGCATCCTGCAGACGTTTCTACATGTGAACTTTGCCGCGATCAGCTGAGGCTTACGATTCAATTACATTTGACATTATACTTTATTAACTCGGCAGACTGTTACATTGAGACTTTATAAAAACCCACACGGCCTTCACACCCAAAGGCTATGAATATGTTGCTACTTCGGCTTTTTCTAACCCTGATATGTGCCGAAATGATTTGTCGCCTTGGAGAGCTGATACCTCCAGACATGAATCCAAATAATGCCTCTGTGTGTTGCTATTCTCAGAGCTATCCAACAGACCTGTCAAAGCTTATCTTGATGGAGCGTCCCACCTCGGCCTCGATGACCCACTCACAGCTCAGGGAATCTTTGTAGTAGCCGGGCCACCCCGGGGACAGAATGACTCCCACCGGAGCGGTGAAATGTCCTCCGCAGGGTGCTGCAGGAAACATTTTATGTACATGCCAGCAGAATGTTTATTAGAACACTTTGATTCAACAAGACACCTCTTCTTATCAACTGTTGTTGCAGTACAGTGTCTCAGAATGTCTTTGGAGATTAAAAAGTTCTTGATTTAAAGGTGCTGCAAGCTATTTTTTAATAAGACGCACAAAACGCCCCTGCTACCTGACAGATTTCACTAAAATAAGTGTCTTGAGAAATCAAACCGGTGTTTGTAAACAGCAGGAAAAAAGATCCAGGGGAACGAACCACAATTTTTTTTTATCCATTCAGAAACACTTTCTGCATGTCAGTCAATTTATGGAATTATTTTTGTGTCTTTATTATTCAATCACACATTCTGTGTTTGAGAGTAAAACTAATTCACATATTCGGTTTTGCAAAAAAAGAATTAAGGACTTTAGAAAATCTGTTAGCAAAAAGAAAATGATTTGTTAGCTAACTGTTAGCATTCCCAGTTATCTACAACAGCTGCACTTGGTAACAAGTCAAAAACGTCACATTTAAGAGGAAAAACGGACTCTTGTGATTGCCTGATTGAAAGCTGTCTGTTATCTGTTAGCATAAAGAAAGCTAACTGCTAACATTACCATTCATCTCTGTGACAGTTGCACAAACAAGATAACAGACCAACTTTACACTTTTGAGGGTCTTTAGAACATTTTTGAATTTTGTGGAGACGGATGTCACAGAGAGGCTGTGTGACATATGTAAACAAAAAGGCAGAAGTTATCAAAATGGCTGCTTATAGCACCATTAATCAATAAGGTGCAGATGGCAATGCTTGACTGTGTCAAAATATAAACCTACAGGTCATACTATTGTTGTTAAGCCCTTGTATAAAGCAGTGGCCATGTCTTACAGTAATTTTACTACAGTAAATCGCATCTCTGCTGTCAAAAATGGTAAACCAGCCCAAGTTGGCTAGCTTGGCTTTGCTGGTCTCATGCCATGTGATAGTTAGTTTAGCAGGCTGGTTTTAAAGAGTTTTCAACTGCTTTTACCTGGTCAAATCAGTTATTCCCATTGTAAACCAACTAGACTAGCCAGTCAGGCTGGTTTTGGCTGTTTTTTTAGCTGTTTTAGGCATTCCACTTAACTTAGTTGTTAAGAGTAGGGGAGCACGGGGCACAAACTAAAGCGGGGTTGTAACACACGTGGTATAAATATTTCAACACATTCTAGAATAACAAAATTTACGGTATAACTCGTTGCCATATCAATATATAGAGAAAAATGTGCACCAAAATTCCAAAATCTTTTGACGATATCGTGAACATTTATTTTTACGATAGTAAAAGTACATTTCTGGCTTGAGTAAATTTTTCATCTCAGTTTTTAGTATTCATTTAAAATGAGAAAAATCTGCTATTATTTTAATCTCCAATCTGTCTTCTGCTAAACTGATAAATAACACTAACCGGTTTTAAATTCCAGCTGTGCTGGAACAATGCAACACAAACTATGCTATCCTTTGACATTAGCGATGTAATTTACACTGTTTACTTTAATGCATTTTAATGAGAAACTACAAGAAACAGGTGAAAAAAAGAGTGACAGTCAAGGTTTAATGTTCAGAAATGATTATTTCAAAAAAGGTAAAGCATTTTGTTTCATTTATGGGCCGTACCAAGCATGGTCCCAACCCCTAGGTTTTTAAAAAACACCATTATTTTATTTGAAAAAGTTTAATTTTATTGACAAAATATTTTAGTGTGTCCTGTATATTTTTTCATTAGATCAGATAACATTTTAAGCTGTCACATGGTCATGTGCCCCTCAGATGTTACAATGTACCCCACCTACGGGGCATGT